AAAAAAAAAAAAAACTCATGTCAACTCCATATATAGATCGCCTTATTAATTTCATAGAACAAATTAAGCTTTGATGGACTCCATCTTTCTACTTGGGGAAACCGACCGAGCCGCCTTCTTGCAACATGCGATTCGAACATTCGGATGCACTTACGGTTGTCTATGGACTTACGTCCCTCCGCCTTCCAAGTGAGAGACTTTCGTTTATCTAGTTTTTTTTGTTTACATTCGCAGTTAATTTTTTTATTGTTCTTCAAATTAATAGATGCTTGCTATTTTCCAACGGAGTTTACCGAGATGAAAGCAGTGTCGAGCAAGCAAGCTCATCGTCCGGAACAAGCTTAGCAAGAACGCTTTTCGACGCGTATTGCGAATCTATTTACTATGTTGATCATGGGTATGTATGTGCATGCACACAACAATGTAGTTTGGATAAATTGAGGAAACTTGTTAATTTTTGTTGTCCAAATTATATCGAAAGTGTGTTGTATTGTTTTTTTTTTTTTTGTTTTTTGGAATTTTTATCACTTTCAGACGTGTTCCGGGTTTCGCTTTCAAGAACCATCTTCCTTATCTTGAGATCAAGTTAGATGGCGTCGGGAGGCTAGCGTCGAACGATGTGCAGAAGCAATTTTACCAGGTTTGAAATATTTGACTTGTTTTACTTCTTGTTAAAAGTGTAAAGATGAAAAGCCATGAAGAAAATTAAGTTTTAGTCTTTAATGCATTGTGTTTTTAACCACAGGAAGCTGGAATTCAGGTTGGCCCTCTATTGAAAACATAAATCTGTGATTATTTTATATATCTCTAGCTAGAGACTTGCATACATGATGCAAACTGCTTAAAACTTTTATACGATTAACATGGTTCGGGAATCCGAATTCATCGATTTTTTTTTTTCTCAGTTTCGTCTTTTGATTCGAATATTATGTAGACAGTAGTGTTTATGGGATGCACCCTTGGAGAGTTGGAGCTAGGAATAATGTCAAGTGAGCCTCAGGTACTAATTCCGAATAAGGTTACAACATTTTTTTTGCAATTTATACTATACGCGTGTTTTTGAACGTTACAAATATTTACAGTATTTTTTTTTTTTTTGATAAAATGCAACATTAACTTCATTAACATTCAAAATTTGCAGCTCTCTTACAGATTGACTATATAGGTAAAAAAACACATAGAGTACATGTTGCAAAAAGTATTTTATCCGAATATACAATTGCCTACAATCTAACAATATACATATGAAGTCACATTATGTAGCTAATTAATACTACTCAATTTTCTCCCAAATTTTTCCTTTCTTGAATAATCAATTATATCCCAAATAATCCAACGCTAAATCATTTATCATACATGGAGAAAAAACACTTTGATTTCTTGTTTTCAGGTAAACTTAGAAAAGGAAATAAAAAACTGGCTCCAAGCGAATTTCTCCATTAGCAACATTCAAAACACACCATCCTCATCCTTAAGGTCCTTATCCCTATTGCCTTCGATTTCCGACATCATAACCTCTCCTGATTACCTCGTCACAAACGAACAATGCCCGAGACCAAGAGAAGCATTATTTCTAGAAGAAGCACTTTTAGAGGAGAAGCTAAGATTTGGAACCCTAAACCAAATGCGTAAAGTCGGGTTACCAAAGTTGGAAAACGAACACGATGCGATGACGAAAGCTATTCTAGTCGTCTTAACTTCTTCTTTGTCTTCTTCGTCTTCTGGCACGGTTCATAACTCGGTTCCTTTGATTATAAGCCCGCGTGAGCCGAGCGGGTTTAGGAGCTACCACTCCGCTTTAGGCCCGGTGGGCCAATTAAAAACCGGTCGAAAGCAAAATATGTTCAAGAGAATCATTTTGTTCTTTAGAGAATTGAACGTGGGGAGAAGACAGGTATTGGGAATCGAGGAACGCGGGCCCACGGACAAGCAGTTGCACCATGCGATGGCCGAAAAAAGAAGGCGGGAAAATATGAGGCAGAGCTTTCGAGTGTTGAGATCATTGCTCCCTCCTGGTTCAAAGGTATAACATATATGTTACTGTATGTACTTTAACTTGTTGGAAAATAAAATAAACCAAAATGTATTTGGTATGGAATTTCTAATTCTTTTTTTTTTTTTTTTAATTATGAAGAGTTTGATCAGTGTTAAGAATATAACTTTTTGTATGAATTCATTCTTTTAAAAGTATCACATTATTTAGTTTCACATTTCGGTCCATTGGATAGATGCATAAATGACTGGTGTTTATGATGACATTATATTTGTACATGTGTATGTCATGCATCCAACGGAATGAAACTCGAGATAGAATATGAAATTCGAACAGGATATCTAATTATCCGATATTTCTTGTCGATAAATTATACATGGTGCAAATCAATTAAGGTTATCGGTTTTCCTTTTCCTACACGCAGAAGGATAATGCAACGGTTCTTAGCATGATCACCGAGTTCATAGACTCGTTGAAAACCAGAGTGGAGCAACTCGAGAAAAGAAACCAGACGTTAGAGACACACCTCTCGGCGAATGTTCTAGACGAAGATCATGGAACGAATGTGAAGATCGTACAAATTTCACAATCAACTTCGGAATCAAGATTCTTGGACTTGAGAGTGTGGTTAAGATCGCGAGAATGTAGCTCGTCGGATTTGGTGATTAAGGTTTTAGGGTTCTTGAGGCAGCAAAGGGATGTTAGCTTGGTGTCTGTACAATACTCCAATACCAGCATGGTGGTACCAAATTCAATGCATGGCCTTGTCTTGAGATTGAAAATTGAGGTAATTTAATTTAAATTTATATTTTGAAACAATTCACAATATATTTCAGATATAATATTCTAATACTGTGTGCCATATGTATTTTATCAATTAAATACAATGTTACTGTAACACCAAATTGTACTAAAATTTCGATATCTACAGTTACAATAAAAGGAAAAACTACTAAATTGGAGATTTGACCAGTTAAAGGAAAACTTTCAAAAATGGTTCACTATGTTGGTCATTTTCCGAAAAAGCTTAGTGCATTATCAATAATGGTCCAATAAGTTGTCATTTTAATCATAATTCGTACAAAAACCAACATGGTATACTAAAAGTGATCATCAGTTTTAGTACATTATGTTGGTTAATGTACGTGTTTTGATTAAAAATGATAATTTAGTGGACCATTTTTTATGACACCCTACATGATGGACCTTTTTTGGAAGATGATCAACGTAGTGTACTAAAAATGAAATTTAGCTTGTTACTCTGATACAAAAATATAATTTCAAAAAGAAAAAAAAAAACTCGAAATAGAAGGATTTAGGATTAGATGATTGTAAATTAGCGGTTATTTTTTTTTTTTTTTTT